CGGGCTGGGGATGGGGGTCTGGGAGGTGCAGGAGCGGGATGGGGGTTGGGGGTCTGGGAGGTGCAGGTGCCAGCTAGGAGCAGCGAGGTGTGGGCGATGCGGGTGCCGTGTACCCAATGCTGGGCGTGGGGAGCCTCACGCCTCGGGGGCCAGATCCAGGCAAGCTGCAGGCCGGGTCAGGCCCCTGGGCCTTAGGTTCCCCACCCCGATCTAAGCTGAGCGGCTCCCTGTGCCCCGGGAGGCGCTAGGGGACCCCTCTCGTGCTCGGTGCTCAGTGACCCTCCGCAGAGCTAAGGCTCATGCCCCCCTCGGGAATGTTAACGTCCCCCCAGACGCCGGGGGCTCCCCACCCGCCAGCCTGGGAAAGCTCAAGTGACGTGTCCGGGGAAACTGAGGCGGGCGGGGGGCCGGGAGCAAACGGGCAAGGCCAGCGGACCAGCGGCATCGCCGGGGGGGGGGAACGGGGCCCCGCAGCCCCAGGCGCCGGTGGGACTTCCCCGCACGGTGCTGTGGCCCCAGTGGAGCGCAGTGATCCCAGCCGGGGCAGGAGGCAGGGTGCCTGGGAAGGGCAGGGGGCTGCGTGGCTGGAGCAGGGGCCGGGGAGGCTGGCTTTGTTCCCTCCCCTGCCCTGGAGAACCTGGGAGGGCCTGTTTCCTGGCGTCCCGTCTTGACAGCGTCTGTCTAATTGATTGACAGGAGCCTTTTGTGAGCTGATCACAAGGGGCGGGGGCGGGGGCAAGAGGTCCTGGCACAAAGAAACATCCATCCTGTGGGTCCCCTATGGGGCTCCTCCGCTCTCCAGGGGCCTTGGTGAGAGGCAGCGAGGGGGCCGACCAAACACACTGCTCATTGCCAGGGCCGCGGCTAATCCCCATTGCTGTGGGGAGAAGTCACACAGGAAGCCCATAGGAAGCTGTTGAAAGCCGCCCCGAGATAAATGGATGTTAGTTTAGTGCCTGGCATTTCCTGTGGAAAGCGACACTTCCGCGAGGCGCCGGGGGAGCGAGTCCGTGACCCGGGGGTATTAACGCCTGACTCACGGCGCTTCTAGAGGGCTGGGGGCGGAGGGCTGCACTGGCTTGGATACAGCCGGCTGGGTGCCGGAGCTCGAGAGCCAACTCCCTCCCTGATGGCAGCTCTAAGGGGCGCCGTGCGGCTCCCGGCCCCGGGCGCGCGGTGCCTGATGGCAGCTCTAAGGGGCGCCGTGCGGCTCCCGGCCCCGGGCGCGCGGTGCCTGATGGCAGCTCTAAGGGGCGCCGTGCGGCTCCCGGCCCCGGGCGCGCGGTGCCTGATGGCAGCTCTAAGGGGCGCCGTGCGGCTCCCGGCCCCGGGCGCGCGGTGCCTGATGGCAGCTCTAAGGGGCGCCGTGCGGCTCCCGGCCCCGGGCGCGCGGTGCCTGATGGCAGCTCTAAGGGGCGCCGTGCGGCTCCCGGCCCCGGGCGCGCGGTGCCTGATGGCAGCTCTAAGGGGCGCCGTGCGGCTCCCGGCCCCGGGCGCGCGGTGCCTGATGGCAGCTCTAAGGGGCGCCGTGCGGCTCCCGGCCCCGGGCGCGCGGTGCCTGATGGCAGCTCTAAGGGGCGCCGTGCGGCTCCCGGCCCCGGGCGCGCGGTGCCTGATGGCAGCTCTAAGGGGCGCCGTGCGGCTCCCGGCCCCGGGCGCGCGGTGCCTGATGGCAGCTCTAAGGGGCGCCGTGCGGCTCCCGGCCCCGGGCGCGCGGTGCCTGATGGCAGCTCTAAGGGGCGCCGTGCGGCTCCCGGCCCCGGGCGCGCGGTGCCTGATGGCAGCTCTAAGGGGCGCCGTGCGGCTCCCGGCCCCGGGCGCGCGGTGCCTGATGGCAGCTCTAAGGGGCGCCGTGCGGCTCCCGGCCCCGGGCGCGCGGTGCCTGATGGCAGCTCTAAGGGGCGCCGTGCGGCTCCCGGCCCCGGGCGCGCGGTGCCTGATGGCAGCTCTAAGGGGCGCCGTGCGGCTCCCGGCCCCGGGCGCGCGGTGCCTGATGGCAGCTCTAAGGGGCGCCGTGCGGCTCCCGGCCCCGGGCGCGCGGTGCCTGATGGCAGCTCTAAGGGGCGCCGTGCGGCTCCCGGCCCCGGGCGCGCGGTGCCTGATGGCAGCTCTAAGGGGCGCCGTGCGGCTCCCGGCCCCGGGCGCGCGGTGCCTGATGGCAGCTCTAAGGGGCGCCGTGCGGCTCCCGGCCCCGGGCGCGCGGTGCCTGATGGCAGCTCTAAGGGGCGCCGTGCGGCTCAACGCAGAACTGCCCCCAGGTGTGTAATACTCCTGCAACTTCCTGCCTGCTTTGCAGCCGCTTCGATCGCTTATGGGTACAAATAAACCCCGGATGCTCCCTTGTATTGATCCCCATCGGCCCCTTCCTTTCTGCCTGGCAGGGGGCCAATGCTAGAGCCTGCACAAGCGACCGTTTCTCGGATCTCTGCTCCAAGCCTGGCCTGGCCCTGGCAGACGCTAGTGAAAGAGGCTTGGGGAGCCTTGTAAATGCCTTTGTCATAATCTCTCCCGCGGGGTTTCTGCGCGGCTTTGGGGCCAGCAGCGGTGAGGCGTCCGGGCAGCCGTTGAAATAGATGAAAGGAACCTGCCAGCAGCTGGGCAGATTCTGACCAAAGGAGGCTTCTGGAGCCAACGGAGAAGTGGTTAAAAACAACACGCCAGGCGCTTTTACCTGCAGACACCTGAGTTCAGGGCCCTGGGGGTTCCTTGATGCGCCTGATGCACGATAGTCCCATGTGGGTCTCTTCTGCGTAGCTAGGGGGCTTTGCGGGTTGGGGCTGCCGTGGCTGGGGCTGCACCGCCTGTGCTAACAGAGTCCCTGCTCATGTACGAGGTAACTAGACCAGCCGGGAAGGACATTGCACCCATTTTACAGGCGGGGAAACTGAGGCCCAGAGCCAGACAATGGCCAGATTCTCTACAGAGCTCTGCAAGCCCTTCTGCAAACCCACCCTTTTTTGGGTGCCTAAATGAGAACCGAAAATGAGAACTGCAAATCTGGCCGCATGGGTGCAGGAACCAGGTTTCGTACTGGGTCCCAGCTGCCAGCCCTACACCTGGAGGAGGTTCCGCTGTCGGCCCCAGCCTTGGCCTCCTTCCCGTTGTCCGAATCCCCCTGCCTGGAGCCATGGCCTGCTCTGAGCCCAGCCGGGGGGCAGCGAGGGCCACAGCCAGGAGCAAGGGGGCACCGGTCCTGCTCTCTACAAA